AGAGAAGAAGTACTCAGATATTGTACTTGATTAAAGTAGAAGTACTCAGATCTTGTAGCCTACTAGAGTAAAAGTAGAAGTACTCAGATATTGTACTTGATTAAAAGTAGAAGTACTCAGATCTTGTACTAGAGTAAAAGTAGAAGTACTCAGATCTTGTACTTTAGTAAAAGTGGAAGTACTCAAATCTTGTACTTGATTAAAAGTAGAAGTACTCAGATCTTGTACTTGATTAAAAGTAGAAGTACTCAGATCTTGTAGCCTACTAGAGTAAAAGTACTCAGATATTGTACTTGATTAAAAGTAGAAGTACTCAGATCTTGTACTAGAGTAAAAGTAGAAGTACTCAGATCTTGTACTTGATTAAAAGTAGAAGTACTCAGATCTTGTAGCCTACTAGAGTAAAAGTACTCAGATATTGTACTTGATTAAAAGTAGAAGTACTCAGATCTTGTACTTGATTAAAAGTAGAAGTACTCAGATCTTGTACTTTAGTAAAAGTGGAAGTACTCAAATCTTGTACTTGAGTAAAAGTACAAGTACTCAGGTTTGAGTCAAAGTAGAAGTACCAGAGTATAGGAACAATCCTGCAATCAAAATGTTCCTCAAATAAAAGTACAAAAGTATTATCATCAAAATATAGTTAAAGTAGCGACTAGCGACAGTAAAAGTAGAAGTGCTCAGATCTTGTACTTGAGTAAAAGTAGAAGTACTCAGGTCTTGTACTTGAGTAAAAGTACCAGAGTGTAGGAATACTCTGTTACAGTAAAAGTCCTGCATTCAAAATGTTCCTCAAGTGAAAGTAGAAAAGTATTATCATCAAAATATAGTGAAAGTAACGACAGTGAAAGTAGTCGTTGTGCAGATTCGTCCATTTCAGAATAATATATATGATGTTTTATAATGATTGATCATGAAAGTGTTCTCAAAGCTGGTAAAGGAGCAGCTAGTTTGAAGTACTTTGTATACTGCAGGGTAGCTGGTGGATTTAGGTGGAACTAAAGTCTGATTCAACACTTGATTATATTTCACATCATTCATCCACATATGTGAAGTAACTAAAGGTATTAATACATGTAGTGGAGGAAAAGTACACCATGTACCTCTGAACTGTAGTGGAGAAGAAGAACAAAGTAGCAAAACATTGAAATACTTAAATAAAGTACAAGTATCTCAAAATTGTACCCAAGTATAGTACTTGAGTTTATGAACTTAGTTATTTTACACCACTGGCTATACAGATAGCATTTTCAATATGCTCAACAGTGCTGCCAACATTATAAACTGACTGCTACACAATTCAAAATAAATGCTTTTATATATTTCTATTAGATGTGACTCTTTGGCGTTTCTGTTATTATTAACTGCTGCTTTAGTTGTTCTGACTGCTAAAATCCTGTTATTCCTCATTTTAAAGCCGATATTCCGTGGGGTCGGGGGGTTCGGATCCTTGTCACCTTTTTCATACCTGATGAGTTTGCATCCCTGTTAATAGAACAATAATGTCATTGTTAGCTAATGAATGTTTCCATGCTGAACAACGGCAACATGACAACGTTTCCATTGGTCCCTCTTCTTTAGAGAAGACCAGGAAATGATGATACACGGATCGTGTTCAAATCAATAGGCACGCAATGACTCTAAAGAATAATGATCACGCACCAAACACACATTCAGACTAAAGGAACCAGCTGTTTGGAAAATGAGAGAAGTAGAAAGTACAGGTATTTGAGTTCAACATGTAAGAAGTAGAAAGTACAGGTATTTGAGTTCAACATGTGAGAAGTAGAAAGTACAGGTATTTGAGTTCAACATGTAAGAATAGAAAGTACAGGTATTTGAGTTCAACATGTGAGAAGTAGAAAGTACAGGTATTTGAGTTCAACATGTGAGAAGTAGAAAGTACAGGTATTTGAGGTTCAACATGTGAGAAGTAGAAAGTACAGGTATTTGTGTTCAACATGTGAGAAGTAGAAAGTACAGGTATTTGAGTTCAACATGTGAGAAGTAGAAAGTACAGGTATTTGTGTTCAACATGTAAGAAGTAGAAAGTACAGGTATTGTGTTCAACATGTAAGAAGTAGAAAGTACAGGTATTTGAGTTCAACATGTAAGAAGTAGAAAGTAAGGTATTTGAGTTCAACATGTAAGAAGTAGAAAGTACAGGTATTTGAGTTCAACATGTGAGAAGTAGAAAGTACAGGTATTTGTGTTCAACATGTGAGAAGTAGAAAGTACAGGTATTTGAGTTCAACATGTGAGAAAGTACAGGTATTTGTGTTCAACATGTGAGGAAGTAGAAAGTACAGGTATTTGAGTTCAACATGTGAGAAGTAGAAAGTACAGGTATTTTGAGTTCAACATGTAAGAAGTAGAAAGTACAGGTATTTGAGTTCAACATGTGAGAAGTAGAAAGTACAGGTATTTGAGTTCAACATGTGAGAAGTAGAAAGTACAGGTATTTGAGTTTCAACATGTAAGAAGTAGAAAGTACAGGTATTTGAGTTCAACATGTGAGAAGTAGAAAGTACAGGTATTTGTGTTCAACATGTAAGAAGTAGAAAGTACAGGTATTTGTGTTCAACATGTAAGAAGTAGAAAGTACAGGTATTTGAGTTCAACAGTGTGAGAAGTAGAAAGTACAGGTATTTGATGTTCAACATGTGAAGAAGTAGAAAGTACAGGTATTTGAGTTCAACATGTGAGAAGTAGAAAGTACAGGTATTTGAGTTCAACATGTGAGAAGTAGAAAGTACAGGTATTTGGGTTCAACATGTGAAGAAGTAGAAAGTACAGGTATTTGAGTTCAACATGTGAAGAAGTAGAAAGTACAGGTATTTGTGTTCAACATGTGAGAAGTAGAAAGTACAGGTATTTGTGTTCAACATGTAAGAAGTAGAAAGTACAGGTATTTGAGTTCAACATACAAGAAGTAGAAAGTACAGGTATTTGTGTTCAACATGTGAGAAGTAGAAAGTACAGGTATTTGGGTTTAAAGTGTAAGAAGTAGAAAGTACAGGTATTTGAGTTCAACATGTGAGAAGTAGAAAGTACAGGTATTTGAGTTCAACATGTGAGAAGTAGAAAGTACAGGTATTTGAGTTCAACATGTAAGAAGTAGAAAGTACAGGTATTTGAGTTCAACATGTGAGAAGTAGAAAGTACAGGTATTTGTGTTCAACATGTAGAAGAAGTAGAAAGTACAGGTATTTGAGTTCAACATGTAAGAAGTAGAAAGTACAGGTATTTGAGTTCAACATGTGAGAAGTAGAAAGTACAGGTATTTGTGTTCAACATGTAAGAAGTAGAAAGTACAGGTATTTGTGTTCAACATGTAAGAAGTAGAAAGTACAGGTATTTGTGTTCAACATACAAGAAGTAGAAAGTACAGGTATTTGAGTTCAACATGTAAGAAGTAGAAAGTACAGGTATTTGTGTTCAACATGTAAGAAGTAGAAAGTACAGGTATTTGTGTTCAACATACAAGAAGTAGAAAGTACAGGTATTTGTGTTCAAAATGTAAGAAGTAGAAAGTACAGGTATTTGTGTTCAACATGTAAGAAGTAGAAAGTACAGGTATTTGTGTTCAACATACAAGAAGTAGAAAGTACAGGTATTTGTGTTCAACATGTGAGAAGTAGAAAGTACAGGTATTTGGGTTTAAAGTGTAAGAAGTAGAAAGTACAGGTATTTGTGTTCAACATACAAGAAGTAGAAAGTACAGGTATTTGGGTTTAAAGTGTAAGAAGTAGAAAGTACAGGTATTTGTGTTCAAAGTGTAAGAAGTAGAAAGTACAGGTATTTGGGTTCAAAATGTAAGAAGTAGAAAGTACAGGTATTTGGGTTCAAAATGTAAGAAGTAGAAAGTACAGGTATTTGGGTTCAAAATGTAAGAAGTAAAAGTAAAAAGTCGTCAGAAAAATAAGTAGTGGCGTAAAGTACTGATACCAGAAAAATGTGCTTAAGTACAGAAACAAAGTATTTGTACTCCACTACTTCCCACCTCTTGCAATAACACACACTGACCCCCCCCCCCAGTCTCTGAACTTGTCAAAAGTCAGAATTTTGAGATTTTCTGAAAAAATCGAACATTTTGAGAAAAAACTAAAATAACCGGTATTCCTCCATCTTGTGACTGTGTAACTCCCTCTCTTGGATATCAGCATGTGAAGGACACTGTTCAGGAACTAGTTGATGCTCTGTATGTGATGACTACTTCCATTCTGGAGAGGATCACAGATACATGGATCCTGAGACTGAAGATCAAGCCGGGGTCCAGGGATATTTCTCTAACAGATAACATGGCGTTTCTCTCTCTCAGGTGTGTATACCTGTGTGGCGTGGAACATGGATGGCGCCGACACGAAGAGCGTCTCGGTGTCCGTTGACTCTCAGGGGGGCTCGTGGTCGGGAGGGGATCCCAGCAGAGAGGCCTCCTGGCTGGGGAACTCTTCAGGAGCTTCAGCCTCTCTGGTGGTGCTGGCCAAGGTACCTGCTCTGTTTAAAATATAACAATAAGAGTGTTTTAAAGCTCTCCTATCATGCAAATGTGTGTCCCCGGTGTGTCGAGGAACTCACAAAGTGTCATAAAATAAAACCCTCTCTCTTTTCCTCCGTACCCAAATCTCTAAAAACGGGGAACAACGGAGCTGATCCAGATTTGCGTCCGATATCACGTAATATCTGAAATGTGGACCCACGGCCCAATCAGAAACGTTGCTATCAGAAACAATGCCCGTCTGTTTTGGACGTAATATGGTCGGTGTTTATATTAGCATCGCTAACACTCAGAGCTAACCTGTACTGGAGAGCATGTGTGTGAAGAAGCAGGAAGTAAAAAGGAACTCACCTTGTGGTATAACCGGCAAGAGAGAAAGCCTTTGAGCTCCGTACTGTTTCAGAAATAACCCTTGATGTGGTTTGGAACATGATGGCGTTTCATCACGGCAGAATTTAGCCGAGTAGCTGCCGGGTAATTCTGAGCAGGCACAAGCTCCGCCTCCTCTAACCCTTTTTTCAAGCTAAGGACCCAGATCAACAATTCTCTAACAGCTGAAACAGAGGGATATGAGGGATTTCTAAAATGCATGATCTGTTTGGTATTTTGAGCAAAACACATCATAGACATGTTTTTATATTTTTTTATATATCTGAGACCCATAATATATGCCTAAGAACAGCGTGATAGGAGACCCTTGAGATCATATATTGTATCTTGGTGTTGGTAATGATTACTAAATGATACGTGTTTCCTGTGCAGGTGGTGCACGCCCAGTCGGTGGTGTTGGAGTGGAAGTTGTTTCCCAGCAGAGGAGCTTCGTCTGCGGGTCAGAGCCAGCAAGACCTCCCTCTGACCCGCTGGACCAGCGCCACGGTGCACATCGACAACCCTCAGATCAGCTACACTGCCAAGGTGAGCACACACGCTCGAAGAACTATTCAAAAGGCATCGAAAAAACACAAAACGTTTCATAAAATACCCCACAAAAAAATCCACTTTTAAGACATTTTAACCAAACACTTCAACACATTTGAAAAAACAATCCCTTGTCTCTCCTCAGGTTCCAGTGGATGTTCAGGAGTACAACCTGACTCACCTCCTTCCTGCTACAGAGTACCACGTATGCCTCACCGTCTACTCCTCCCCTCTCTTCCCCTCCTCCTCCCCTTCCTCCCCCGTCCACACTTCCTGTCTGAACGTCACCACGAAGGAGGCGGGTTTCTCCGTGGAGTTGGTGGCGTCTCGGCGCAGCAGCGTGGCGCTCGCCGCCGTCATGGGTTCGATGTTCGCTCTGTCCATCATGGCGCTGCTCGTTTTCTACATGGGTCGCAGAGTCCAACAGCACAAATCCTGCGGCCACTCGCTGAAGAAATACATGCAACACGCCACCTCCATCCCTCTGAACGAGCTCTACCCGCCATTAATCACGCTGTGGGAGAGCGAGGCCGAGAAGGACAAGGAGGACAAGGAGGATGGAGAGAGAGGGGAGGAAGCTGGGGGGAGTCAGATCGACACCACAAAGACGTACATGTGGTAGCGGGAGGGGGGGTTAGTCGACAGAAAGACAAACTTTTAGAGAGCGGCAAAGAGAGATCAACACAAGCCTTCAGACACCAAACACAACACGACTACCAGCAGATTCTGGTGTTTTTATTGATTCATTAATCACAAACTCTGTTAATTTACAGATGTTTTCATATGTAAATTGTTACTGAAGGTCGACTAGACTTTATATAAGCGTCCAGCTGATCAATCAGAGCAGACTGGGCTCTGGTTTCAGACAGAGGGTGAAAAAGGGTAGAGTAGAGACACTACATACTGATATACACCTGAACATCAGCAGGAGAGGACTCTTTAAAGTAGAGAGACCACATACTGATATACACCTGAACATCAGCAGGAGAGAACTCTTTAAAGTAGAGACACTACATACTGATATACACCTGAACATCAGCAGGAGAGGACTCTTTAAAGTAGAGATCATCTACATACTGATATACACCTGAACATCAGCAGGAAGAGGAACTCTTTAAAGTAGAGACACTACATACTGATATACACCTGAACATCAGCAGGAGAGGACTCTTTAAAGTAGAGACACTACATACTGATTATACACCTGAACATCAGCAGGAGAGGACTCTTTAAAGTAGAGAACACTACATACTGATATACACCTGAACATAAAGCAGGAGAGGACTCTTTAAAGTAGAGACACTACATACTGATATACACCTGAACATCAGCAGGAGAGGACTCTTTAAAGTAGAGACACTACATACTGATATACACCTGAACATCAGCAGGAGAGGACTCTTTAAAGTAGAGACACTACATACTGATATACACCTGAACATCAGCAGGAGAGGACTCTTTAAAGTAGAGACACTACACACTGATATACACCTGAAAAAAGGCCTCTTTAACTTCACATTTCTCCGTTAAGTGGTAAACACCTTAAAAGAAAACCAGATTTAATATTGCTCCTACAGATTTAGAAGTTAACAGGGTTTGTGGTTAATTTGCTCGAATATTAAAACACCAGAATGTTTCTTTTCCTTCTGTTTCCATTGCACAGGTTTCTTATGAACTCACATCTTCAGTTGTTAATCTGTTCGACCTCAGCTGCTCTGGAGAGATCTGTCAGAAGAAGACTTTAACAGAAGAGTTTGATCCGTTTCTCAAACTGTGGGTCGGGGGCGGTTATCGAGCCGTCTGCTGAATTTAAACCGGACGTTTTTTTTTTCTTTCTCCAGCATCATCTGAAGAGACTTTTTAGCGAGTCTAAATGTTTTCTACTCAGCAGATTTCCTCTCTTTGTCTCGACTCTTGTCTCTGCCAAGCACACTGACAGTAGCTGTGCTGTTTAAAAAAAGAAAGAAATCTAATTATTGTAACTAAGTTCATCTGATGAACATGAATGCAGCACTAACACTCAGCACAGGCAGATTCCATGTGGAAACTCACACTGAAGGTTTTCAGAGTGGCACTTAAAGGTCCCGTATTCAAATCAGTCGTTTCTTTACAAAACATTCAACTTTAAAACTATTTGAAGTAACTAATATCAAACTAGTTATTCATTTCACACTGCGCAGAGATGTTAACACCTTCCTTACATATTTAAATGTAACCGTTAGTTGGAGGTCAAACGTCCGAGTAATTCAAAACTCCAAACACAAATCCAACTGTATGCAGATATGCCGTTTTACACACCTACAGTTAAAGGTCCCATGTCATGGCCATTTCTACTGATCATAATTCCTACTAGAATAGATTTACATTGTTCAATGTTCCAAACTCACATTGGTAACTCATACAGCATCTCTGTATAGTGTGTGTATTCACTCTCTGTCCCCCCCCCCCCCCCCTCCCTGTGTGCCCAGTGGCCGTCTGCGAGACAACGAGACACCGCGAAACTCAGCCTGGGCACACACACACACCCGCAGCCTGGCTGGGAGTTTGTGTGTGTGTGTGTGCTCAGGCTGAGTTCCACAGTGTCTCACTGTCTCGGCGACCCCACACCAGTGAGCCAGCTCACACTGTCCCGCTCCTCGCAGCAGCGAGCCTCGCAACGTCCCGCAGAGCGTGTGTGTGTGAGGAAGTCCGTGGATTGGTCCAAACGTAACGGCTCCGCGGACGTTACGTTACGTCACTATACCCAAATACGTCACTATACCCAAGAAGTAAACAATGGAAAAAGAGAAATGGAAAAAGAGAAATGTCCAACGAGGCGTTCTGGGGCAGCATAGACAGGTCTTTTCTGTGTTAGAGTTTTACTCGCTACAGGGTGTACTTTGAGGGTTTGTGACTCTGCAGACCGTTTACATTCAGAAAAACCTTCATAACACACAAAAGCATGACATGGGACCTTTAACGTTTTATTATCGTACATATTTATGTTACAACAAAGCATGTCATTCAGTGAGCGATAGATGGGCGATACTGGAAGAATATACCTTTTGCTTAATACATAAATTGCATCTTTTTGTTGCAATCATTTTGATTTAATACACATTACACACCGATAAAGTCCACAGGAAGGCGACCTGATACATAGATTCAAATATTCAAAGTTGAATTGTCATGTGCGCATAAGCTACAGTGTAGAAATGGCAATGAGCTCCTCCAACAATGCAACATATATAATAGAATACAAAAATACAAATAAGTACAGACCCAGATACTCGTAATCACCAAACACCACTCAATACAAGATATAAGATATACACGTATAGTTTTGTATGCTTTTGCTCCACCTCCATCCACGACCTCACACTGCTCCTCTGTAAAAACACTTAACGTTTCTGCACATTAAAGCATCGCGACACGCCTTCAGTGTGCACATTAATGCAGTATCTGTTTTTCAGTCTGCACGTTCAGTCACTTTCAGTTCAGCTTCAAACCAAACTTCCTCTCTGAATCCGGGACCTTTAATCTTCCAGAAACTTCACTTTACTTGACACGCTGTCTTTATCAGCGCAGCATGAATGCATCACTCTTCTATTTTATGATCTCTGTTCTGTACACCGTGGTCCTGCTTCCAGTCCTGCCGCAGGATGGAATGAAGGATTTTTTAGCTTTTCGTTTGTTCACAAAATGCAGAGTTATAATCTCTGTTTTATAACTTGTAACACTTCTGAGTTATTTTTATTTTTTTTAGCTGTTACAGACGTTGCACTGGGAGGTGGAGGCGGTGGTGCTGCATGCCTTTGCACTCATATTTACGACTGTTTGTACGAAACCACGTCTGTGTGACGACCTGCAAACTGCTCGGGTCCATCAGGATGAATTTAGATATTACAGGGAATTCACACGGTAGAAAAAAACACACAAGAAATCTCATAATTAAGACTCGTCAGTATATTTTATACGATACGATATACTTTATTGTCCCCGTAAGGAAATGTGTTCTGGACTCCGTCCTGCAGTTCCGCATACATGTACATATACAAACATAGTGGACATTAAGAGACATACACATATCATCAGTCATACACCGTTTGAACAAACACAATACACAGACGCACATACTGACAATGGCGACCTATTGCACTAACCCTCATGGCCTCATCATTCTGCAAAATGGTTATCTCATAATTACAAGGAATGTATTTCATTAAAAATAAGTTAAGGATGTCACAATGGTCATATAGTTTTCTTGTAAGAATGAGATACAGATGCCCAAATAGTAAAAGGATAAGTATTCAAAGAAAATGCATAAATCCAAATGTTTATGTGACAGGTTTTCTGTTATTAAATGAAAAAGAGCTGCATTTTTTTGAGAGGAAGTCAGATGTAAACCGTCAGATAGGACCATGACAACAAACCTAATTACATTTGAATTTATGGGATAAAAAAACTGAATTTAATTTGAATTTCTGGGATTAAAAAGCAGTCTTTCTGTGAGTTAATCCGTCAGTTTGCAGGTTTGTCGCTCAGACTTTTAGCCAAATATTCCCTCAACCGTCTTTCAACCAAAACTCTTCAGGAACAGCAAACACTCAAAGGATGCTCTGGGCATTTCAAAAGAATATATTCTGTATATATTTACATTTTATGATGTTATAAAGATGTTTCTCTGGTCTCTCCACTGTGAGGAGCTTTTCTGTTTTTACACTTTTCGCTTTAAGACATTTGAGTCACCAAAAAGTACATAAATTGATAAATAATGTAATTTCAATTAATTGATACTAGGTCTGCAGTGTGAGAACAGAGGGCGCCCCCTGGTGGCGATCACAGAAACGATGACATCACTCTTTCCTCATGTCACTTAAATTACTTGTATTCTTAATTAAACTTGACATTAATATGCAGGGTATTTTGTATAAAGTGTATCACTCTATATTTGAAGACAACTATTGCTTATATTATTATTATGATTACTCGACACTGAGCACCAACTGTAACTAAAGATGTGTGTGTGTGGGGGGGGGGGAAATAATAGAAATACACACTTTGTCACTCAACAGCCTGGTGTCTGATTGTTAACTCGTGTATATTATTTACAATTTTTGAAGATACTTTTCCTATAGCATGTTTGTACACATTAAAATCTACAATTTCCTCAGATTTCAGGTTCATTTTCAAACTAAAACCTCTCTCGGCCCCCAAAGAAGGTAGATTAAGAAGGAGGTCCACAGCAGTGGCGGTTCTAGACCAATTTGACTGGGGGGGGCCACTGGGGGGCCAGTTATTTTCTGAGGGGGCCACAATAAATGCAGGACGAAAAAGATAACTAGACAGTATGAAGTAATTGCACATAAGAAAACAATGCAATACAGTTATTGGTATTTGTTTCAGTACACTTATTTATTTCAGATAGATCTTATAGTTATTACTGGTAGCTTCAGCTTAAGTTATAGTGCAATGTTTGCACTAACACCATATTTATACAAAAATAAAGGCAATGAACAGTTACATCTCTACTTTACATAAGGGTGTCTGCACAATCTCACATTACAGCAACAAAATCCTGCATTTTTTGGGAAACCGAGTACCAGAAAATATACATTTAAAAAAAAAAAAAAACGTTTCATTGATAGGGGGGCCACAGGGGGGGTCAGTGTTAGGGGGGCACTGCCCCCCCCCCCCCCCCCCAGAACCGCCCCTGGTCCACAGCAACGACCACATGAAACCCCCTTTAATTTACTGCAACGACATGTCGGGTAACCCCCTCAAGGGGTCCCCATAGCGCGCCGTCAAAAGCTCATAATGTCGTGGTCTAAACATTCATCACAAAGCTCCTTTTACATCTGAAGAATGAGGTTTTTTTGCACTGATTGAAACTAAAGTGACATTAACAGCTGAGATCAAACTGACCTGCTGTTATAAAGACCTGCAGGCTGCGTGCTCTCCGACAGAAACTTGACATGTA